GATAGCAAAAGATCACAAAAAAGACAGAAGAGAAAGAAAAAATAAAAATGGAAGCCGGAAGCGACCTTAAAAATTGCACCACAGCATTGAGAAGCCAAAACCAAAGAAAAGAGATGCTGGAAGAAAATAACTGATTTCAAAAGGCAGCTCAGGAAGACAAGGTGAACTACAACTAACAAATGTGCAGAGACCTAGAACCAGGGAATAAAAAGGGAAGAATTCTCTCAGCATTCCTCAAGTTTAAAGAATTGAAAAACAAGGCTGGGATGTTATGGGCAAAATCTTGAATGATCTAGGAAACATCAAAAGGAGATGGAGGAATACACTTGAGTCACTGTATAGAAAAAGAATTGGACGACACTGAAATATTTCAGGATATACCATATGATCAGGAGCCACTGGTAACAAATGAAGACATTAAAGCTGCTGTGAAAACATTTGTAGAAAACAAGGCCCCAGGAATCGATGGGATACCATTTGAAATATTTCAGATGACAGACACAGCCTTGGAAGTGCTTGCCAGTCTATGCCAAGAAAATTGGAGGACAGCCACCTGAACAGCTGGCTGTGACTGGAAGAGATCTTTGTTCCCCCCAGAAAGGTGCCACAGGAGAATGTGGAAACTATCAAACAGCATCATGAATATCATGTGCAAGTAAAATACTTCTGAGAATCACTCAGAAACAACTGGAACAACATGCTGAGAGAGAACTGCCAGAAGTTCAAGCTGGATTTAGAAGACTCTGTGGCACTAAGGATATTGTTGTTGATGTCAGATGGATCCTGGCTGAAAGCAAAGAATACCAGAAGAATGTCTATTCGTCTTGTATTAACTATCAAAAGCATTTGACTATGTGGATCATATAAAATTATTGCTAATACTGAGAAGAATGGGAATCCCAGAACATTTAATTGTGCTGGTGCAAAACTAGACCAAGAGGTTGTTGTGTGAACAGAGCAAGGGAACACCGCATGGTTTAAAATCAGGAAAGGTGTGCATCAGGGATGTATCCTTTCTCCAGCCTGTTTAACTTGTGTGCTCAGAAGATGATTTGAGAAGCTGGACTCTGTGAGGAAGATGGTGGCATCATATAGGAAGAAGACTTAGTTATGCCGATGACATAGTCATACTTGTTGAAAGTGAGGGGGACTTGAAATACTGGCTGCAGAAGATCGAAGACTGTAGCCTTCAATATGGATTAAATTTCAACATCAAGAAAACAAAAATCCTCACCAGTAGGTCAATATGCAACATCATGATAGATACAGAGAGGATTAAGACTGTCAACTTCATCTTCCTTGAATCCACAATCAATACACTTGGTACGAACAGTCAGTAGACAGCAGGAGACGTTATCACACTGGGAAGTCAGTAGTCAGGGACCTCTCCAAATTATTGAAGAGCAATGATGTCAGTTTGAGGACTATGGTGTACCTGATTCAGTCCCTAGTGACTAAGGATGACAGAAGAATTGATGCCTTTGAGCTGTGGTGTTGAAGAAGAGTCCTGAACATTCCCTAGGCTGCCTAGAGAACAAACAGCTATGTAGGGAGAAGGAAAGTGCAGCCAGGCTGCTCCTTGGAGGCAAAGATGACAAAGCTTTGCCTCACTTACTTTGAGCATGTTGCTAGGAGAGACTATTCAAGGGACATCACCCCTACTCTCCCTGGCTTGAGGCCCCACACAATGTCCTCTCACCTCTCACCCCCAACCTGTGATGAAGGCTTGGAGTTGATCTTAGACTCTGAACAGAGCATTACCTGGGTTCGGCAGCATCTCCTTCCAGGCTGGTGTCCACCCTCTGACCTGCCCCTCTTCCATAGTCTCAGTGTTAACCTCTTGGGGACCGCATCCCTCTTTTGGCTGCTGGTTTTGTCTTTCTTTCCCTGTTGTCTACACACACAGCGTAGCCTTGCCTCATGGCTCCACTCCCCAACCCACAGATGCCTTCCTGCCCACGGATTGCAGTGGGTCTCCCAGAGGGGCTCAGCGCATCCCTCCATCCCTCACCGCTGGTGCTGCTGGAAGCAGGTGCTCATTGGCCGCAGAAGTTCTACTCAGTCTCAGCCCTCGTTTGATCACAGATGTCAAGATGGCCGCAGGGGGTGGGGTGGCCATGGTGGGCAGTGCGCTCTGTCCACTCCCTGTCAGTCTCACCCGAAGCAGCCCCAGGAGGTGCTGGCTGTCCAGCAGAAACGGTGGCCAGAGGCCTCGGACAGGCATGGGCGCGACTAGTGGGACAAAGTGCGGGGTCCGGCCCGCACCGGGAAGGGAAGGTTTGGAGGCCCACAGTAGCAGGCAGCAGCCGGGAACTTGAGGGTCTGCACAACCAGCTGCCCGCGGGCCTGGAGAACCGCGCCCACGCAGCTGCCCTGAGCGCCTAATCGCCATCAGGTGGCGTCCCTGGACGCAGTGGTCAGCGTGCTGCAGTCGTGGGACCTGAGCCTCACGGAGGCCATGCTGCAGAACACGGAGGCTGAGCAGCAGCGGCGCGCGGAGGCCGAGGCCAAGCGGCCGTGGGCCCTGGGGGTTGTGACACCGCTTGCCCCCCGCCCCAGCCTCAAGCTCAGGGTGCAGCAGCTAACCACTGAGCAGCAGCGGTGCCACAAGGAGGTAAGGGCGGTGGAGACCCAGCCATCGGGCAGTGGTGGGCGGAGCCGAGTGGAAAGGGGACGGGGCAGGAGGTGCTGGGAGGTGGGGAGGACATTTTGGGGGAGGAGGCGGCCAGGTGCGGGAAGCAGGTCTGGGAGTGAGGTGGGAGGAGTCTGGCCTTGAAGGGATCGGGATTGGAGCCACGCTGGAGGGCGAGGCCAGGGAGCAGGCAGGTGCTGGAGAGCCGGGAGGCCGAGAACCAGGACAGGCTGCCCAGTGTGCGCAGGGAAGGCGAGAGCCTGGCTTTCGAAGTGCGGCCTGGCGGTGAGAAGCGCACTCTGGGGGTGGGGGGCAGGCTCTGGATGGGCGGACTCGGATCCAGGGCGGTGGGCAGGGCCGCGGGGAAGGGCCTTGGCGGAAGGCGGGGTGCGAGGAGCCAATGACGAGGGACGGGCTGGAGGGTGGGGCCTGGACTTGGGACCGACTGGGGGGATTGACACTAGGGAAGGACCAGGGCTGTGCAGGGCGGGGTCGCAGGGCGCCCAGGTCTGGGAGGCGGCTCTACAGCGCCTGCTCGGGTCCCTGTGGCCACAGCTGCAGCAAGCCTACTGCGACCTCAACAGAAGGATCGCGGAGCAGAACAAGTGTGGGCAGAAGTGGATGGACAAGCCAGAGCTCCCACTGCAGGTGTGTGAAGCCCGGCCGAGGGGCCGGCCGCCCACCCTGTCCGCTCCCTGTGGCTTCGGAATGACCGACATGACCTGTTCTCCGGGACGCCCGGCTCCCTTTAGCCCAGCTGACCTATCCCTCCAGGATCTACTTCCCCCCAGACTTCCAGCCCCTCCTTAGACGTTTGCAAGTGCCCCGTGTGGAAGGGGCTGGTCTGCATGGTGGGGGTCTGGTGGTGAGCCCCACCTCTCCGGCAAGGCCATCAGGGATGCAGAGGCCCGCGTGGACAGACTGCGGCTGGAGGCTCAGAAGGCTGAGGAGACACTGGCCATGGCCAGGCTGGCCCTGCAGGAGCAGATCCAGGATGGTGGGCAGAGGCTATGGGCTGGGGGCGGGGAAGGCACACGAGGCCAGGGAGGAGGTGGGGGCCAAGCTGGCTAGCTCCCCCAACACCCCCACAGAGGCAGCAGAGGTGCCTGGACTGAAATGCCAGGTGGCTGAGCTTCATGATGTGCTGATGAAGGATGTGGGTGACCACATTCGCAACGATGGCCGGTCAGTGGTTAGTGCTCTGGGCTGGCAGTGGGGTGACCTAGGCCCAGGGATCCATGTGACCTGGCTGCATCCCCAGGTGGCCTCTTGTCATCGACCCTTCGGGCCAGGCAGCCACCTTCCTGCGCTACCAGGACACTAATTACTTGGACACAATGAACCCAGGGCACCTGCAACCTGAAACCCTGAGGCTGGCTCTGCTGGGGGCACTCAGGTGAGGCCAGGCAGGGGCGGGTGCTCAGGTGAGGCCCAAGCTGGCCAGGCCCTCACTGCTCCGCCCCTTGCTCACAGGTATGGGAAGGCCCTGGTGTTCGACCTGCATGAGGTGGACATGTTTCAGGTGGTGCAGCAGCAGCTTGACCAGGTGCAGGCCGGCCTGGCGCAGGCACTGCTGAACCGCACGCTCCTGGACCAGGACGGGTACCTGGCACTGCTGCGGCCGGACGACCAGCCGGAGTACAGCCCCGCCCAGTTCCAGGAGGCCAGGCTGATGAACTTCCGCGTGGTCTTTGTCACCAAGGCCCGGTGGCCACCTGCAGAGCAGCTGCAGACTTTGCTTCCGGTGCACGTAGTGCTGCTGGCTTCAGGCCCTGAGCACACACAATAAAGGCCTGCCTCACGCCCTCGAGGTCTCCCTGTGTGACTGAGGTCAGGCTGGGCCTCAGGACCCTCGTGTCCTGCACTTGGCGGCCGGGGTAAGACACCTGGGGCCCCACTAAACGCCTGCCACTGGAACCTTGTGGAGCAGTTCTGCTGGCCTGAGAATTGGGGTTCGGGGCGCAACGGGCCAAGCAGTCCCACGGTGGCCTAGCTCAGCTACGCATGCAGAGGAGGGTGGAGGGGAGTGAGGCCGGACCAGGCTGCTCTGTGGTCCTCAACTCCTTGTCAGTCTAGGCTGGTGGGTAGGGGCTGGCAGGCAAGAGAGAAAACGTAGTCAACTTTATTCTCCTTAAACCACAAAATAGAGTCTTTGGTTTTACAAACGTCACTAGTTACAGTCTGCCGAAGAGGTCCTGGTGGGGTAGGGCTGGTTAGCCAGAAGCCAGGACTCCTGAGGGTCTTTAAAATGTTAACATCCAGGTTAAAAAGACTTGGGGTGAGGGTGGTGTTGGGAGCTGGCAGGACCCCCACCCCCAAGTCAGGGAGGCTGGCCCTGAGGAAAGGGGGCCTGTGGTGCCAGACCCCTCTAGGAAGGCACAGGGCCCAGGCCTCGGCGCCCTGGCCGCACAGGTCGGCGGCTGCTGCAAAGGGTCACCTCCTCAGGACCCAAGGTGCCTGGTGATGGTCTTCCCAGAAGCACCAGGGCCACCTCTCCGTCCTCTTCCTGTGGACCTGTGAGGAGGATGATGAGTCTCAGGCACCGGCCCTTCCTCTCCCCACCGGGCAGGCTGAGGTGTGGGCACCCCTCCCCGCTCAGGTCGATGGGCTGCACACCCTCAGGTTGTGCACTCACCAGGGCTTGGAGACTTCTCCAAAGATTTCAGCTCCTCAGCAAAATCTGGGGACTGAGAGGGGAGAGTGGCTGCTGAGGCCAGACCAGACCTGCCCAGAAATGACCCCCGTGGAGTCAGGGTCCGGGGGCTCCGAACCAACCCTCACTGGACAGGAGGCATGTGGATGGCGCACAACCGGGAAGCAGAGGGGAGCAAAGAGCGAGCAAGGGTGCAGGGAGGTGGCCGAGGGGCTGGTGACAGGACAGGCCCGCAGGCGGTACCTGGATGTCATAGACAGGTCTGGAAGAGGGAAGGGCTGCAAACACCCTGTAGTCAAACTTCTTTCCAGACAAGGACTTGAAAGGACAGCGTGAGGGGAGATAGGAGAAGGAGAGAAAGGGGATGCACCCACCGCCAGAGGGAGCAGAAGGGAGGGGCACCCCACCGCCAGAATGAGAGGATGAGGAGGGGGAAGAGACCCCTGCACCACCAGGATGAGGAGTGAGGGGAGGGCCCCGGCCAGGTCTCACCAGGCGTCCAGGAGATGTGCTGGGTGGAAGGCTGAGATCTGGGGACGAGAAACAGGCGTTGGGGGTGGCCTATGCAGGGCCCCAGGCTCCCTCTTCCTCATTCCCACACAGACCTTCCAAGGGGGTGGGTGAGGGGGTGGGCGCGGGTGAGGGGGCCTCAGTCAGCCGCTCCAGGGGCCCCCGCTTGCCCCGGCCCTCCTGGGACTTGCTGAGGACCATCTGTGCTCGCAGTGCGTCCTGTTCTAGAGACTTCATCCTGTGGGGGGCGGGCAGTGCTAGGTGGGCAGACAGTGCCAGGATGGGGTGCGTGTGGGGGGGCACGGGGTACAGGAGAAGCCTCACCTGGCTGCCCTCCACAAGGCTCGCTTCTCAGCCTCCAGAGCCCGGCGCTCAGCGGGGGACAGCGCCCGCTCGGGCACTGTCAGCTCCGGAAGCTTCAGCTCGGGGCTCTGCACGCGCAGCCGCTCCTGGTGGCGCCGCTCAGCCTTGGCTGTCCGCACAGGGACAGTGGTGCCTCCCAGGGGCGGAGGGGAGGCAGGGCTGAGCCTGGGGAGGGGCATGACGGTGGGAGTCAGGCTGGGGGCTGTGCCCAGAAGGAAGGTGGCATGGCCGGTGGCTGAGCTGGGGGAGCTCTCACCCCGCGGTGGGGCTGGGCCGGGCCCAGGGCAGCGGTTCATCCTCTTTCTCTCTGGCCGTCTCCCCGTCCAGGGCGGGCCCTGCGTCTGGACCCCCAGCCGCCTCTTCTTCCCGCAGCATCTGTGCCCTTTTCTGCTGCAACTTGCGGGCTGAGGGTGGAGGGTGGGTCAGCAAGCTTTGCCCTCACCTCCTGTAGCCCCCCGCCCCCACAGGCCCCTGCTCACCCTCCTCCTCCTGCATCTTGCGCAGGTCATCAGCGCCCACCAGTGACACCCGTTTGGGTGGCCCCTCGGCCTGGGGCACCCGCACCTCCAGCTCGAAGTACTTCTGCCGTTCCCGGAAGGACAGCTGCTCTGGGGAGGCCGCTGGCCCGGGTGTGGAGGGCTGCGGGGAGTGGATGCTGAGTGTGGTGCCCAGGAGTCTGCCTGGGACACAGGGCCCTCAGCCATCCCTGCATACCTGGGCCAAAGTGGTGGCAGGTGGGTGCTGGCTGGGGACGGCAGCGAACGCCCGATACGCTTGCTTCACATTGGTGGGCAACTCGTCCGGGGACGGTGGGGTCGGCGGCTGGGGGCAGAGGTGTGTGAGCCTTGGCGGTGGAGGCCGCCCTGAACCCCGGGCTCTGCCCACCGTCCCCACAGATGCTGCTGGCCCCGCCCATCAATTGAGGCACCAGCTGTCCCTGGGGACTCAGGAGCAGCTGGGCCAACAGGTTCCACCCCCCACCACCACCCTGGCCCTGCAGACTGGGGAGCTGAAGAGGAGAATTCTGGATAGGGTTCAGGGCAGTGGCACTGAGGGACTTCCAGTTCAGAGCCCGCTCCCACTCCAGGACAGCAGGGAACCCCGGACAAGAGGGAGCAGGGCTGGGTCAGGGCTGACTTCCCTTCTCTGCCCTCACAACCTCAAGCTGGGAGAAGCCTTCCCAAGTCCCATGTGATGGGGCACTGTCTCAGGACACTCACCTGCTGGCTCCTGGGAGAGCTGGGGACCTCAGCTGTCTGGCCTCCGGGGAGTCCTGACGGCACCTGCCAAGAAGGCCTGGGAGTGGGCCAGGGCATGGGGTGCCGGTGGAACTGGCAGAATTTGGGGCTCTGACAGTGAGGTACGGGGTGGGCCTCCTGTCCAGGACCCCTCCTCAGGAAGCTTGGACAGCCACTTGGCCATCACCCAGGGGCCAACCCTCCCCTTCAATGCTGGCCTGGGCAGCTGTCCATGGTCAAGGGCAAGGCTGTCTGGAGCTTCACTGGTAGAGAGAACGGCACGGCAGGCCACGATGCCAGTAGGCTGTGAAGGAGGCACCGCAGGGCACCTGTGGGGAGCCCCCAACAGCCCAGCCTGGCCGTCCCTGTGACCCACAGGTTCAAGGGCTCCTCCCATGGCTCCCTGGTCTAGCAAGGCCTCGCACAGCTGCTCCTCATCCTCAGATAAGCAGACACGACAGGCCCATTGGCTCCAGGCTCTCGGCCTCCCCCGGGGCGGCCCCTTCTCCTGAGGGCTCTGGTGCCTTGACTGGCCCACCTCATCCTTGTGCTCCCAGGATGCCAGTGGGTGAACCTAACAGATTCATCTCCAGCTCTAGGTACAAGGGTCCACATACCCACCCCCTGCCAGCTATTGGAGGTTTCATCTCTCCAGGCTCGGGTACCCCCACCCCAAGGTCAGGGCTTGGTGGCTCTGCAACCTCAGCGGTTCCTACCACCCCGCCCCCAACCCTCTGGGGCTCACAGCTTCCCACAGCCCTGAATCTGAGTGGTCCCTTGCCAGTTTGTGGGGAGCAAGAAAGAATAAGAGGGTGGGAAGAGCTCTAGGGGTCCTCCACGGACACTCAGCTCAGAGTGACAGGAGGGGTCTTACTAGGTAGACAAGCTGCACTCTGAGGTCTCAAGTGCACAAGGTTGGTGGCCGAGTGGGGACCCTGGTGCCTGCTGGCTTCCTTCCCCTGATCCCTGCATGGGCCTGGCAGGGATCAGGGGGTGACGTGTGCCTGACCCTGTGTGGGTCACACCGGGCTGTGTTGTGGCCTGACTCACAGGCTGCAGGGTTCAGTGCAGGGTCCCCTAGAATCCTGTCCATCAGCTCAGGCACAGCCACGGACAGGAGGCAGCACCCGCTTAGCACTGACCCTCTGCACACTCCCAGCACTGGGCACGGCAGCCAGGATGCGGTAGTCCAGCTTCAGCGGCTCTGGGCTCCAAGCCTGAGGAAGCAGGAGACAACAGCACTGTGATGGTCTGTGCTGGGGGACACTGCAGGACGTCTGTGGCCAGCACTTTGGGGGTGAACGAGGGGGACACTGCTGGGGACACCTGTGGCCAGCGGATAGGGGGACGACTTGGGAGACTCTTGTGGCCAGTAGGGGGGACCTAAAGGGGGCATTACTGGGGACATCTGTAGCCAGCTGAGGGGGCTCAAGGAACACTGCTGGGGATCTCTGTGGCTGGTAGAGGGGACAGTGGTGTTGTCACCTGTGAGCAGGGCATTTGTGTGAGTGCCTTGGGCTCTCCCCTCCCGTGGGGCCCTGGCTGGAGGTGCAGAGGTTCCTGAGGCACGTGGCCTTGGCCCTTGCCACCCCACCCTTAGCTGTTCTGCCTACCCGGCCTCACCAAGTGGTGCCCTGACCTTCAAGGACTTGAGAGGACAGTGTGAACGGGGGAGGAGGTGACCCAAGTTCCTGCCGAGGGCAGGCAGGCACTCACCATGGGCTCTGCGGCTTCGGGCGCCTGGGGTAGGGTCTGTCCAGCCAGTTCCCTGTCCTGTGAGCAGAGTACCAGGATCAGAGACTCATCACTACAGGCTTCTGGCCCTGCTAGGCCCCAGCGGCCCCTCCCAGCCCTGGTGACTCTGACCTTGCCAGGGCCCTCAGGGCTCAGCTCACGGTCCACGGAGGAGACACTCTCTGTGCTGTTTCGACGGCTGATGCCTGCTGCAAATGGGTTGGCGATGACGCCTGGGGACACCTGGAAAGAGGAAGAGCAGGCTGGGTGGCCCCGCTGTGGCAGTAGCCCCAGGTCATCCTCTTCCCCAGGCTGCGTCCCCGACTGTGGCGTCCCCGGGACGTGGGTGGCCACAACACAGTGCACAGGCCATGTCTCAGGACGCTGGGCTCTGTGCCCTGTCATGGCTGTGAAGGTCCGAGCTAGCGGACAAGTGCTGTCTCTGCAGTGTTCATCACCTTGTGAGGCCTCTGACCACCCCTGGGCCTCACTGCCCAGTGGCCCCTGGGAACCTGGCCTCTCTGCCCAGCTGTAAGGAGAGCTGCTGGTGCAGAGCACACATCTGTCTGGACTTGAGAGTCAAGGCGACACGTGGGAGTGTGAGCAGGTGGATGCTGTCGTTTTGAGAGTGAGGAAACCTCGGCCCCAGTTCCTTTAGAAACAGTGAAATGACAAAAGGGCGGGCTGAGAGGTGCCAGGATGAGCATGTGCCCCTCAGTAGGAGAGCTCCAGGAGAGAAGGCATGCCCAGTGCTTATCCTACAGAGCTATGGGGCCAGGGAGTCCCAGGCCTGAGGAAAGCACAGTGGAGGATTAACTGTGCCCCTCAAATGCATGTTGTTGCTGTGTACCTTTGAGTCAGAACTGACTCAAGGCTGACCCTCCGGTGAGTTTTCAGAGGCAGTTAATTGCATGGGAGAATGTCCATCCTTTTCCCATGGAGTGCTTGACTTGCACTATCCCATTTTACAGACAAGTAGACTGAGGCTGTAAGAAGTTAAACACCTCAAGTCTCAAGTGAAGTACAGGCTCATCTGCATGGAGCCCTCGAACCCAGGCCAGCATGCAAGCAGAGTAGAGCTGAAGACAGCTGCCCCAGCCTTCCAGACCATTCCACAAAGCTGGGGCAGCACGCCAAAGATGTTACAGAAGTTGAGTAGTGTGAAGGAACAGGGACCATGGACAGACAGGACCCTTGAGGTCTGTGAAGGCCAGGCTGACTGCTAGAGAGCTGGGCTCAGGAAAGGGGAGCCGTACCACCCTAAGCACCCCTCTTCTGCACCACAGAAGGTCTCAGGAGAGCAGAACCCAGAGTGCCAGGCCAACTCGGTCTTCTGAAGAGGCAGGACCCCAGCCATCTTCCTGAAGTGACCACACTACACCTCTGTGGTCTATGCCTTAGTGGAGCTCTGGACACAAGTGCACATCAACACCAGGCCCGAGCTGGAGAACAAGCCAGGCCAACTGAGACGGCGAGAGTGAGCCCTACAGAGCAAACCTGAAGCTGCAGGGTCCCAGAACCAGGCGTGGAGGCAAAACCTGGGCAAGGATCCCTGCAAGACCAACAGAGCCCTAAGCTGTGGACTGAATGGTTGAAGTTCAAACCCATGCAGGGGCCTCGGAAGGCTGGACAATCTGCTGCTGACGACACCAGAGCTCCAAGTCCCCCACGCCCGCGAGGTCCCCCCACGCCCGCGAGGTCCCCCCATGCCCATGAGGTCCCCCCACGCCCGCGAGGTCCCCCCACGCCCGCGAGGTCCCCCCATGCCCGCGAGGTCCCCCATGCTCATGAGGTCTCCACGTGCTATTTACCACATCGGAAAAAGCTGCTTACACACTTGGAACAAGATCAGGACCACAGAACAGACCAGAGGCTGCCGCATTTAGAGACAACGTGTGAAACACAAGCTTTTGAAAAGAGGAGTGGTGATGTGGAGTAAGGCTTGAAGCACGTGGTAAAGCTAGTGTGTGAAACAGTGTGGTGCTGGGCCCAGGCCTGAATCCAGCGGGAATCACACCCAGCAACTCCCCGTCCAGAGGGGCCTGGGCAGGGCATTCAGTCAGTGGCTGGGCCAACTAGACACAGATTTCTTTAGGGTGAAGAATTCCAGATGGACTTGAAAAACTAAAAATACTAGAAAGAGTAAAAGGCGACATTCTCATGTTATTGTAGTAAGCAAAATAAGGACCCACAAATGACGGAAGGAAAGGCTCATAAGAAAGTTGAGTGACTCCCGAGATCCTCCACTCCAACTCCCTGGGTCTGCACGGCAGCGCAGACCAGCCCGAAGGGCTCTGGGCTCTAACGGTCACGGAAGCAGTCTGCCATTGCCTCTGAGTGACAGAAAAGCGGGCTTGGCTGTCAGCCCTGAGGTGGCACCTCCCTGGCAGCTGGGATTCACTGGTGGCTGATTTACAGCCCCCCAAACCCTGCTGGAGCCTGGAAGCAGGAACGGCATTCACTTCTGACATGGCTTGCCTCAGGAAACTGTACGAACAGTGCTCAGGCCTTTCGTTCAGAGGGTCGCTATGAGTCCTCTACGACTCGACGGCACCTAACAACAACAACAAACCTTGCTGGACGGCCAGCTGTACGCTGGGTCCTGCTCTACAGCAGTGACCTGGAGTTTTTAATTTGTGTCTGTGTGGCAAAGCCAGCCAACCTTGCTTCTCCCCTGACACAACAAGCGGCCACCAGCACTGGTTCTCACAGAGATGGTGCTTGAGATCAGTGCTGGGTGCAGCCAGGCAGCTGGCCCGGCCTGCGGTCACACGCGGGGAGGACGTGTAGCAGGCAGGGCACTGCCATCACTGCCAGTCTGCACCCAGCACTGGCTGGACAGCCCAGAGCGGATGGGACTGAGGAAGGCCAGTGCACGCCCATGCCCTGAGTGCTCCCTACTCTACACACGGACCAGGCCCCTGCTCCTTGTCCCCTTCAGTAAAAAGCCCTAAGATGCCTGCATTTGGAAAAGCAAATAAATAAAAAGCCCTTTTTCCATCCACCCCAGCGGCCAGGGGTTGTGAGGCTTCCAGATGCAGACAAACTAGGGAGAAAACGCCTGGTGGTCGACTTCCTAACATCTGCCAGTGAGAACCTTGCGGTAAGCGGGTCCAATGAACGCTACCACAATAAATAACACAAGTCCATGTCAACGGACTCATTCTGCCAGGAGAAGCAACCTGTGCCCACAGAGGCTGCCACTGAGAAGTCCAACAAGTTACAGGTAAATCTACTGCAAAAGATCTTAATGTTCTATGAAGCAAAGCTGTCGTTCTGGTGACTGACCTGCGCCTGACCTGAACTGTGGTCCTTTCGACCACCTGGCATGTGTATGACAGTGGGGCGAGGAAGAACAAGACTTGAAGTGTGGAAGAAGAAGTCTCAAACCGTCAGAAGCAAGTAAGCCTGAAGCGTTCTCAGATGAAGAATCAATCAGAACTGGAACGCTCCTTACAAGAGAGAATGTAAGGGGATGTGGCTCTCAGCCCTGAACATCAGGACGGGTCTCCACAAGCATGTACTGATGATGAAGCAGATGGTCAGCGAGAGATGGACAGACGGCACAGAGACCCTCAGGAAGGACAGGCCTGACTGATGGGGAGGAGAGTGCTCACGGCACCTCACCAAAGGCCAGTGCCAAGGACAGACACTCCTAGACCAGCTAAGGCCAGGTTCTCTAGATGCTCCGAGGCTGCAGCCACCATTAGCCTGTGCCAAGTCAGGGAGGCGGGCAGGGACAGGACAGCCACAGAGGAAACAGGCAGGCTAGGCCCCAGGACAAGACCATCACGCCCAGGGACAGGGAAGGGCTGGAGGACCAGAACAGTGCCACAGCTGGGGTGGACGCCTCCAGCCAGGAGGGGTGAACACTGCCACCCAGGAGGGGCGGTCAGGTCCATCCAGGAGGAGTGGACAGCTCCATCCAGGAAGAGTGGACACCTGCACCCAGGAAGAGTGGAGAGCTCCATCCAGGAGGGCAGACAGCTCCATCCAGAAGTGGACAGCTCCATGCAGGAGGGGTGAACTACTCCAGCCAGCAGGAACTGTGCCCTAGGCTGTTTCTGACCCCCCTCTCTGGAGCCCTGATCCCACATCTCTCTTTTAGGTGCAGGCACCACCGCCTTAGCCCCCCAGTGTGTCAGACACTGACCTCCAGGGCATTGGCAGTACTGCAGTCGAAGCCATCACAGACGAGCACAGTAAGGGTGTCTCCCACGGCCCGCAGCAGCTGCACTGCCTCACTGTGTGTCAGGCCCAGGAGACTCTGCTGGTTCACCTCCAGGAGCCGCAGCCCCACCCGCAGCCGGCCGTCCCGGCCTGCTGCCCCCGTGGGGCTCACCTGCAGGGACACAGCATAGAAGCCTGCAAGGGGGCTGGTCCTGGCACCCACCTCAGCTCTGCCCCACATGTGACCCCCTCTCTCCTTAGCACCTGGCACCCACACTCTGGGGTCTACCTCTCAGCCCTCACTTCCACCCCCACACCCACATCCTACCCCAAGGCACACCTTCACTCCAGCGCCCACCTCCTGCCCCCTCACCCACATCCTGCCCCCCTGCCCACGTCTTGCCCATGTCCATGTCCTGCCCCAGTGCCCACGTCCTGCTCCAGTGTCCACGTCCTGCCCTAGCGCCCACCTCCTGGCATTGGCCTTACCTTGGAGATGAAAACACCCTCGTCGGTGGGGTCGCAGGGGTTTCCTGCGTGGCCCTTGGCGCCCCCCCGGATGCTGATGCCCAGCTTCTCCCCAGGAGACTTCTGGATGCACAGTTCCTGAGGAGGTAGAGCCAGGCTGACTATGGGTGGCCAGCAGGTAGTGGACAAGGTGGGCGGCGCCCAGTTCTCTGTCCGCTCCTCCGGCCAGGCAGTACCCACCTTCATGCCAGGGGGAGGTGGGTCCCTGCGCACCAGCAGGCAGAGTTCCAGGCAGGGGCGCAGCAGGGCCGTGACGGCCTCCTGGTGTGTGGCATCGCGCACGTCTTGCCCATTGACGGCCAGGATCCGGTCCCCGACCCTCAAGCCACTACGTGCAGCTAGGCCCCGTGGGAGTACCTGTGGAGAGGGCCGACTGGCAGGTGACGGCCTCCTCACACACCCGTCTAGGGGGCACCGCTCTCCCTACCTTGGAGATGAACACACCAGGCTCCTGGACACCAAATGGGTGGCTGGAGTGGTCAGAGCCGCCAACAATGCTGAGTCCCAGAGGGCCCCCTGCTCTAGGCAACCGGACCTCCTGGGGACACAGGGGAGAGCAGCTGCGGGGCTGGGACCACCGTCCATCAGGCCCGAGACAGAGGGCCAGGAGGTGGGGGTCTGCCCCAAGAACACAGGGCTGTGACAGCATGGGACCAGCCACCCGGGAAAGGAAACAGAACCTGGGGGAGAGGACTCCATGGGCACATGGAGGGGCCTGGGGACGAGGACACTAGGACACAAGAAGGGGGGCCAGGACAAGAACGCAAGACACATGGGGGGAGCAGGAGAACACGGGGCGGGTGTAGAGTGGGCGAGAGACAAGCAGGGGAGTTCAGGGTCTCACCTCCACAGGGTAGGGCCCCTCCAGGGCAGCAGCGAGCAGGCCAGGGGCCAGTCTTGGTGGCCCAAGCTCCCCACCAGTGGCAGTTGTTGGGGTGAGAGCAACAGTGGGGTGCAGAGGGGAGTGTGGGAGTGGGCTGGGGGCCAGGGGTGCCCCAGCTTCTCGTTCTAGAAGCAGGGCGATGGTAGGTGAGGCGGCCGTGAGCAAGGACACGGCGTGGTCGTGGCGCGCCTCCGTCATATCCACCCCGTTAATCTGTGGGAATGGTGCCAGTCAGGGCTTCCTGACAGGGAGACAGGCCCGCATCTTCCCCAGGCCCGCATCTTCCCCAGGCCTGCTCCACTCACCGAGAGGACCCGGTCGCCGACCTGCAGGGTGCCTGCCCGGTGGGCCGCCCCGCCCTCCACGATGCGGGAAATGAAAATACCCTGGTGGGAAAGGTGGACAGTGAGGCGTGGAGGCCCGGGAGGGGCCCAGCCCGGCCTGGCCCTCGCCGCACCCCCAGCCCTCACGGCCCTCACCGTGTCCCCAGCCCGGTAGGGCGTGGAGCCCTTGCCGCCAGCAATGCTGAAGCCCAGGCCCTTCTCGCTGCGCACGAGGCAGGCTGCGTGGTGCTGGCGCAGTGACCCAGGGGCCTCTGCCAGGGGCAGGCGCAGGCCACTCCCTCGCCTCTCCCGGGGGCTGTAGTCGTCCTCGGGCCGCAGAGGTGTGACCGTGACGGCGTTCTCCGGCTCCACCATGCGCTCCCGCCACACGCGCATTCGCACCGTGGTCCCTGCTCCCCGAAGGGCCTCCACGGCCTCATGGTGCTCAGCGCCCTGCAGGGCCACACCGTTGACCTACAGGACGGGGGCGGGGTGGGGGCGTCAATCTCAGGCAAACGGGGCCGGGTGGGCTCCATGGGATGACCGTTACCCATGAGGTGACCACAGCCCTGCACAATGGTCACGACAAGCCCACCCAGACTTATGAGAAGGGGCCAGCCCCCTCCCGGTCACCAGTTCCACCCCAGCAGATGTCCCAGGGTACCAGGCTTGGGGCCTGATGGAGGCCTCTATGAAGAGGACACACAGCGTTGACACAGCCTTCCCTAGTCACCAGCGCTCACCTCCAGGAGCTTGTCCCCCACACGGACGCCCGCGCGGGCTGCGGGGCCCTCCTCTGACACTCGGGAGATGAATACACCCTGTGGAGCACAGTCCAGTCAGTAGGCACCTCTCCTCTTTGGAGGGGCCCAGTGCTGCTGGCTCCACACCGAGGGGTCCAGGAGGACCCTGCTCCCAGCCTGAGGTCCACTGGCCACTCTCCTGAAGGCAGGCACCGAGCCCTGACGCAGGTAGATGACTGAGCCTCTGCTGTTAGTGCAGGACTCACACCCAGTGCAGTCCAGAGGGCACAGTGACGAGGGGGCAAGACCAAGGAAACAGTTTTCTCTATCCTCAGTAGGGGAGTGCCAGTGCCTAGGCTGCCTAGACAACCGACGGCTTGTGTGCCCCCCAGCTGTAGGAAGTACCCCAAACAAGAAATTCCCTGGAAAAGAGTAAGTCGCCAACTACTGGTTCTCAGAACACCAAGAACCCTGAAGAAAAGCAGAATCCCACAGATGGGGTGAGACGGGGAGGGGGTGAGGAGGAGAGGGGCCAGATGCGGGATATGGAACGGGACGGGGCAGTGTGAGGACAGGACAGGGTGAGATGGGGATGGGATGGGGCAGTGTGGGGACAAGAAACGGTATGACGGGGACAGGATGGGGCAGTATAGGGCCAAGGTGAGATGGGGCAAACAGGGACAGGACTGGATCAGTTGGGGACAGGGTGGCGTTCAGAACCAAAGACACTGGCAAGCTGTCAGGAGAAGAGGCTGGGGTGTGTGGAGATAAGGTGGGGCAGACAGACAGGCCCAGCACAAGCTCTTACCTCATCATCTCCCTTGTAGGGAGTGGAGCCCTTGCCCCCAGCGATGCTGATGCCCAGACCACCCGTCTGTCGGACGATGGTGAGTGTCAGCTGGAAAGACAAACAGAGGTGGCCGTCCAGGTCTGCCCAGCAGGGAGCCTGAAGCAGGCCCTGAGGTCTGGAAATGGCCTGCAGGGCCTGGCAGGAGCGGGGGCCAGGCCAGGGCACAGGCAGAGGCAGCAGAAGCCAGGTGCCTGTTGTGGAGCTGTGGCCTGGCCCCTGTGAGGGTGGAGTAAACAGACACACAAGCCGCAGCCCCGAGGCAGAGCAGCAGGGTACAGACCTCCTCTTCCTCAATGCGGGCGGGTTCGATCAGCAGGTTATTGGCCTGGTCAAACGACACCCCCTGTTAGGACAGGACCAGCGAGCATGCAGATTAGCGCCACCACCACAGCCCGCCACCATTCTGCTAGAGACAGAGAGCACACCAAGCCCCGAAGCCCAGCACCCGCGTGTCGGGGGAGCAGTGCGCCCCATCCACAGATGACCTCAGGGAAGGAGGGACCGGGCAGGCTGTTCCCAGGTGGAGCCACTGCCACAGAGGGTCCCAGGGCCGAGTCGCCTGGCCCGGGATCCCTGGCTCCCACCAAGGCCCCCAGAGTCCCACCAAGGCCAGCAAATGCCCGAGCTCACAACAGGGCCAGGGCTAGCTGCAAGGCTGGCCTCCACCTGAGGTGGCCACTTGGTCCTTACCAGCCAGCACCTCTGCAAACGCGGACCCTGAAGAGCTGCCACTGGGAAAGGGCAGTAGAGCTGAGGCAGGCTGCCGCCCAGGCCCACGCAGAAGGGTCAGCGTCAGTGGCCAGAGGGACAGGGAGCCGACACTCACCTTGACTGAGGGTGCAGAGACCACAGCTTCCTCCGGAGCATCCTCCTCTTCCTCCTCGTCTTCCTCCTCGGTCTGAGGCACCCAGGGTACGTGTGGGCCGTTGTGCCAGCCTCCGAGCCCAGCCTGGCCCTCGCTCTCTGGCTGCATGCCCTGCAGCAGGGCCACCACAGCCTCGGGTTGCGGCAGCTTGGAGATCTTGAAGTGCTTCTTATAGTGCGGTGTGTCCTTGCGGATGAGCCGCTGCCGCCCACCTGGCTCGGGCCAGGGGGCCTCGGGCGGCCCCTCCTCATCCTCGCTGTCTTCCCTCGGTAGCAGCGTGTCCTCCGCAAAGTGCACTGTGGGCTGAGAGTGCAGTGTGAGACCAGGCCGGGAAAGGCGCCGGGAGTGGCATGCCTGCACTGAGGGTCCTGCAGGCCCTGTCCGGGGCCACGGCTGGCAGGGGTGCAGCCCAGGTCCTCTGCAGCACCATTGTGCAGGGAGCCCCTTCTAGCCGGGCTCTGCCTCCCAGTGCCCACCCCAGGCCACATGCAGTGACACAGTCTTTAGGATGGGCGGTGGGTCACCTCATTGCAGGTCCTCCCATTCTGTCCTCACCTCCTCATAGTCTTCCTCCACATCATCCTGTGGACTGGCTACAGGGGTGTCCTGAGGGCCCAGGTCCTCCAGCTCGCCTGGTGGGACCTCGCCCTGGGAGCTGGTGCTCCCCGACCCAGGGGAGGCCTCGTTTGGCTCAGTTCCAGTGCTCTGCCTCTTGTCCTGTGGGCGATGGTGGTCTGCCTGCCTTGCTCTGCTGAACACCACGCCAGCCCACTGGGAGCCATGCCCACACACAGGCCCTGAAGTGCCCTCACTCAGGGTGGCCACCGTTTTGGGGTGGCCTCCAAGTCGGAACCACACTCTCCTGCTCTCGGTGGGAGTACTACAGCCCCTTGGCCCTGTACCAGCTTCAGATATGTCCCTACCCTGCCCCCAGCCCCATCTCCTGCCTCAGTCCCCAGGACACTTCCCGAAGACAGGCCTGGTACCCCCCTCAGGTCGGGACAGTGCAGCGCCCCTGCTGTAGCCCCTCCTGCCCCAGCCCCTCCCACATCCCCATGTCTGATCAGGACAGTCCCAGCACCCCCTGCTGTAGTGTAGTCCCAGCTCCCCCCCCCACACCTCCTCTGAGGGGGCAGGCAGCCCGGGGCCTGGCGTGCCGGGGTGCAGCTCAGCCCGGCGCTCCTCGATGCCCCGCTTCATGACCTTGAGCTCACTGGGGTGGGGGGTGGCGCGGCGCTGCAGGCCCTGCAGGGGTGCAGGTGAGGGCGGGGCTGAGGTCAGGTGGGGTGGCGGAGGCGCCCCGCCCGCTCCCCATCCCCCCATACCCGTGTTTCGGAGCCGGTCTCCTCCGAGTCCTCATCCAGAGGGGCCTCCAGGAACTGGATGACGCTGACACGGCTCAGAGGGGTGTCGCTCCAGTTGTCACTGGGCGTGCTCAGCTGTCCTGTGTCCTCTGGGGGAGATCACGGTGAGGTCCTCACAGGCTGGGAGCCCCAGCCCCCTCCTAGCCCCCCTGAAGACGACACCTACCAAGGCTGGATGGCGGCTGCTGGGGCAGCAGGTAGCAGGTGAGCACCTTCTCGCCCGTGCGCACGTCGTCTTCCGTCTGGAAGCGCAGCATTGGCTGGGCCTGGTTCTCCGCTAACCACAGGGCTTTGAGGTTGAGGTGGGTCAACGCGAAGGGCAGACTCTGCAGGCTGAGGCGTGGGCGGGGTCAGCAGGAGTAGTAGGGGTGGTGCCCAAGGGTGTGGGCGGGGTCAGCGGGGTAGGACACTGGCGGCCTGGGGCTGCAGAGGGCCTTGGTCCCACAGGGGACCGAGCCGCAGAGGGCCGACCCTGACCGCAGAGGACCGGCCCGCAGGGGACCGACCCACAGGGGCCCTCACCGGTTCCCAGCCACGTCCAGCACGTGCAGCTCGGCTGTGTGGGCCAGCTCCGGGGGCAGGGCAGCCAAGCGGTTGTCCCTCAAGGAGAGCACACTGAGAGCCGTGCAGCTGCCAATCTCAGGGGGCAGCCCTTCCAGGCGGTTCCGGTCCACATTAAGGTTGGTCAGCTTTGTAAGCTTTCCCAAGGAACGGGGCAGGGCCTGGTCAGAAGGTTCAGGTGAGAGCCTACCCGGGTCTTCAGCCATTGGCCTGGACCCACTACTAACATGAGGCAGGCAGGCTCGGACAGGCAGCCTCCTGGTACCCCAGCCCAAGGCCATGCCTGCTGTCCCATTCCCTTGTGTCCCCGCTTGGAGCCATAGGTACCTGGCCAGGTCTGCTCAGGTAGTCCAAACTCTACAGCACTCCGAAGCCCAGCCTGCGAGCTGGGGTTCCCTTCCTGGACTCCACTGCCTAGGCCCCTGTCCCCAGTGCATCGCTACCCCACCACCATCACAGCCCCTCTCCAAACCGCCTCCATCCCCCTCAGTTCTCTAGGACGAATAGACACCTCAGGACAGCTGACTGCCAGCCCTCCAAACACAGGTCAGCTCCTGCCACTGCCTCCCCTCCAGTGCCCCAGCACACAGCAGAGAACAGTGTGTACCCCAGCCTGAGAGGGCTCCCCATCTGACCCCATCTACACCCTTCTAGGTCACATCTCCAACCCCCCAAAAGTGACCTTGCTACCAAAAGTTCTCCTTGTGCGCTCCACACGACAGGACACCCCTCCCTCCAGATACACACAGGTGAGCATGTGAACAAGCACACACAGACACGGGGTTCTGGTGAGCGTGCACACCCTCAGCACACCCACCCTCGCACACACCCACTTTCATGTGTCTACCCATATGTCTGCGTATATACACACACACCCTTTTCTCACACACATTTGCATGTACACAACCTTCTACAGCTACACTCCAGCGTCTGCACACATTACTGATACCTGCCACCAGCACACGCAATTACCCTCTAAGTTTGCACAATTACACCTATGCGCTCACACAAGCTACCATCTACACACACACACCTGGAATCAGTGTCTGCAAACACCACCTAGCCCCGTACATTCATGTCTGGATACACCTCACCCTCCTTTGCTAAACATACACACCCCCCCGCATCTTCACAACCTCAACTACTCATGTGCCCACCTACATCCACTCACAAAACTGCAGAGCTGTGCTCAAACAGACTTGTGACACCAGTGTCACAGCTGCCAACACTTGCCCACCCCCACGCCTCCGTGCACGTGTTCACGCACACACCTGGGTGCGCTGCCCAGCCACAGGCCCACTGGCACGCACTCTCTCCCTCCAGCGTCACCAGCGGAGACTGAGCCCCTGCCCACTGATCATCTGTCACCCCAGTGCCGCCTTATCAAGGCCTGCAACCCCACGCCCTCTCCCAGTGACCCCCGCTGGGTCCTACCGTCAGGAGGTTCTCGGTCAGGATCAGCTCCGACAGGTTCTCACAGTCCCCGATGGCCTCTGTCATTTCACACAGGCGGTTCTGGTCCACCTTCAGGATGGACAGCTGCTTCAGCTGGCCTGGCCGTGAGGAGAGGGGGTACAGGGGTGAGTGTGAAGAGGCAGGGGTGTCTGCTTCAGCGAGAGGCAGCTGCTGCCAACGCCGGGGGCTCCCTCCCTCAGACTGGGGCCCAACCCAGGCCTGGCTCTAACGGCGAACATGCCCCTTGACAAGCTGCCTCTAGACGCTCAGTCTCCAGCCCAAGTGGCCCCTGTCCCTCGCACCGATGCCGTCCGGCAGCCGCTGCAGCAGGTTCTGGGACAGCAGGAGGTCCGTGAGCAGCGCCAGGCCGCCAACCTCTCCTGGCAGCTCCTCCAGCCGATTCTCCGACACATCCAGGCACACAAGGCGCCGGAGGTTCCCCAGCTCCTGAGGACCAGTCCGTGGGTCAGCAGACGGGAGGCAGGAGAGTAGGGGGTGGGGTGGGGGGCCCGCTGTGGCCCTACTCACCGCAGGCAGCGCCGACAGCTGGTTCCGGTCCAGCCACAGCTCGCGCAGGTTGGGCAGAGCCCCGAGAGTGTCAGGCTGCAAGGGTGGATCCGGGACA